ATGTGTCATATCACGATTAAACTGTAGCACCTTAAAGTGTACAGCAAATAAAGTTTGTTTTCAGAACTTAAATATCCAAATTCCAGTGTATTCTCACATTTCATGCTTAAAAATCAACAATACATTTTAAAAGCACAGGTACAAAAAAAAAATCGCAGTCCCATAACTGAAAAGCATTATATTGTATCATATAATTAACAGTGCCTAAATCTAAAGCCTACATTTAAATACGATTCTTTCTAAGCAAAGAGATGACAAAATTAGTCATATGAAGGACTTAGAAAGAAGCTCAGCATAATTGCTACGAACTCCACAACATCCATGTAAGTTAGATTAGAAGAATGGCTTTTAACCCCAGAAAAAAAGAATTGTCTACTTCCTCCCAGTTGTGAAAGTAAGCTTGGCAGCAGGAACTGAGCAGGGTTGTCTGATTCAGCAAAAAAACCTTCAATAACAACTTAAATTGACTACATTACTGTACTAGTTAAACATTAAGGTCTTACTTAGAGATCTGCAACTTACGTTTCTCTGAAGTCTAGTTTGTATGACTTCATACCTTGTTCACCCAAATTTGCAGGGTCATCTGGCTAAAAACTCTGATTATACCCTAACACTATCTATACCACTCAAACCCCAACATATCTACCTTCCTGAATGCAGATAGTTTGAAAAAAGGACAGTTAAAAGATCCCAAACGTTAATGCAGAACTAACTGAGGTATAAGAAGATGTCTGCTACCCCCTAGTTCTGGCAAAATTATACCAACTAAGGAACAAAATTACAAGGAAGATCTTTTATGCTAAGCTCTACAGAAGCTGCAGCCTTGGAGAAAGGGTTTCTAAGGTATTCCCCAAAGCTACCCACACTCCTCCTTGCTGCTGGTGAAACCCATCATCTTTCCAAGAAATCTCAACCTGCAAAATATTGCACCCTCAGGCGCTGCGTTGTAAGCTCCAGTGGGGACCAGAGCTTGCATGAACAATATAATTCTGTCCCAGCGGGGCCTCTGTTCTTTTCAGCCTCAACCACTTGTGCCTGGAAAAGAAAGGTGTTTAAAAATGCTCTTTTCTAGGGCAAAAAAAGTCAGAATTGGATTTAAATTCTCACACCAGGGATCCAAATGTCTCCTTAAATGTTTTATATGCTCCACAAATTATTAAACAATGAATACAGCCTGGAAAGCTCAGCCTTAGAACACAGTACTCACTCTTCATTTTGCAAAGCAGCTTCCAAGTCACCTCAAACAGCACTGAGAGCAAAAGAGCAAGTCACACAACACCTGCAAATATTCTCACGTTAGCCACACCACTTTCCAGCCTGAACACTGGTCTAAGACACAGGCGCAGCTGAACACCTATTTTAGTCATTGACACCTATTTTACTCATTGCCTCCCTCGTGTTCAGCAAAATCAAGGCAAGACTCTAGTGTTCCTAATCACCCATCTTTTACTCTCTGCTGTCATGTCAAGCTCACAGCTGCGTATTTTCCTGGCAACTATGAATCAGCTCCCACTTTGATGACTGATTCACAGACCAGAATAAGACATGCTTACAAGAATTATTCTATTAACAACTTAAAAACCGTTCTGCTAGCTCCAGCTGCTTGGTTCCCCGCAAAAACATCCCTCCAGAGGTTGTGGCACTATTGGTTATATTGGTTAGTTACACTACCATGCCCCAGTTCAGATTCAGGGAAGCATCTAGACTTTAAACAATTGCTTCTGGTTTAGCTTTTTCTGTTAAGCAAATAATTTAGTTGGGATAACAGGAAGATTAAGTAGAATACTGTTCCCATTTACAGCCAAAAAGTCACTAGCAATTCAGGCTAACGTCAATGATTTTAAAGGTATTTATGTGCCTCAGTAATTTTGTGCCAAATAGTAACAATAAACATAAACCTTTTAATATGAGCAGGACACAGCTCAGCAGAACACACATTTCAGCTTCCGTAGAGGTCTCATATTGAGGAGTCCCCTGAGCTGGAGAAGCACCTAGAAGTTATTAAAAGTGCTCACATTTTTATTCTTCTAGTAAGGAAACAGAATTTTTTGTTCAAAACATAAACATGATGCCTGGAGTGGGTCATCTATAGAGATTAACCTATGAGTACTGAGCAGGTACACAAATGTGCTTGCCTTCACACAGCTGACAGTGGGGGTCTGGCAGAATTAGAAATTAATGTGAGGGATAATGTAAGACTACTTCAAAAGCTGCTCTCCAGCTGACAGGTTATACCATCCCCATTAAATACACATGGCAAATTGGTATGGGTACACTTAATTCCACCAGCTTTTGAATGAAGAAACATTAGGGAAAACTTTTACAGGCTTCTGTGTTTCAGAAGAATTGACATACCGGAGAACTATAAGACTTAAAATAGTCACATCTACCCCACACACCACATTAATGGAAGCAACCAACAAAACCTGCAAAGAAAATAATTACATGCCTGAACAGCTAAGTGTGCCTTTGAATATATCCTACTTTTTCAAATCCTTGATTGAAAGTGCTACTGGCAGCTGTGCTGTAAGCACAAAAATGTGGCAGAATGATTAGAAATGACCTATTCTCCTTCTCCCAGAACTATTTCCATGTTAGCACGGCTATAGATACAGCAAGTTGTAACAGAAGCAACTCCATTACTGCAGCACAAAGTTTTTCTGACCATGTGAATGTTTTAACTAATCACATAAATACTTTCATAAGACAAACGTACGACACTGGAGTACATTCATAGCTTTCACACTTCTGAAAATGGCTACAGTGTTCCTGGCCAGTAATATTAATCCACACATACAGATTAAGATACCCTTGCATTGTAAACACAGTATTGTTCTCAAATTTGCTGGGCAAATGTTAATACAGCTTCTTAATTAGCATGACCTTATAGAGTACATAGTGAAAAGATGACAAAAGGAAGAGCTTTTTGGGGACCATTTTTTCTCTCAAAATCTACTAAAAACGCACACAAGTAGTACAGGTTAAAACTGCTGGCAGCAATCTACAAAAACAGAAAATCCAACTCTGCCCTGAGACCTTACCTAAAATTTTATTCTAAGATTCCACCTTCACACACTGTATTGTGACAGTAGTTGTGTCCATATAAATGGAAAAGAAACACAAATGCAACATTGCCAAATTTATAATGCATATCTTACCAGGAAAAACAGTAACTGCAGAGCATGGCTGACTGTGCAAGACAAAATATTCCTATAGCTCAACTTGATTTTAAAATTGTAATTTCATTTATCCACAAAAGCTTGAGTGACGCTTAAGTAACAATTTTTAAACGGTTTGTAACAATTTCTTCTTTCATTTTTGGTTAACTTAAAGTCTAGACTTCACAAAGCTCACAATTAAACTTTTTTGATCTATAAATTTATTTTCTTATCTTTGTGCCTACACTGTAAAAACAGTAGGGTACATGCAAGTATTCCAATATAAATGCTGATAAATTGATGAAGTAATTTAGTTGCATTCATACTTTCAGGGTCATAATAAACTCTTACTCATGTTTACCTTCCAAATAACAAACCGTTGTAACTATCATTTCCCCAAAGTCTTGTTAATTCCTTCCATTCAGCTCTTCCAGAAAAAACATACAGAAATCACCCCAAATTAGCATCCCAGCTTTGACAGAAGTCTCCAACAAAATTCATTATTCTCCTCACAGCTAAAACAAGCCAAGAATGCTAACTACAAGTTCTTAAACGGTGGAAGTCACCACTTTATGATGAGTCAATTTCTGACCCTATAGAGTGTGATAAAAGGGGCAGACATTACACCTGAATCTGCATGAATGCCAAGAGATCCCATTGCCAAGTTACAACCACAATCAGAACAATAACGTGAGAGAAAGGATATAACCCTCCTCAAGTTTTGAAAGTTTTGCAAATACATGATTTGCATTCTTCCATTGTACAGAGAAACAGGCAAGTAGTGACCATAAAACCTGACTAATCATATGTCTGAAAATTAACTGAAAAATTACATTAAATCAAACTTACAAAAGCATATTTGGAAAAATACATGGCTCAATTATTAAGAACAGCAGCACTACCAGAAACTCACATGCTACATAGAATCACATTCATGACGTTAGAGGAAGGTACCTACAAACCAGCTCTTCATTACTCAATAAAAAAGAAAAGTGATCAGAACTTCATCTCATTCTTCTAATATTATCCTCTGAGGCGGGAAACAAAAACAAGTTAATCCAGCAGCTAGGGGCTTGTGTATACAGAAGCAACAGCAGAGCTTCTAAAGAAATGGCGTTTCTACTGCATCTGATTCTTGCAGGAGAATGCAGATAATTGATTGGGAAAATCTTGTTTCATGAGCTTTATCTAACTTGAGATTCCATGTCATAAAAAGAGGGGTTGGGAGGAGTCATCAGCTACCCTGCCAGAGTTGCCCCAGGAGAGTAAAGCAATCTTAGTTATATTTAAAAGGAGGCTATAATTTTCTTTTTAATTACTTATAACTCAAATAGCTCTGAAAGGATCCATATTTCAGAGGCAAGATCAAAAGTAAAACCAGATGGATATTAGAAAACATTATAATACAATCTAAATGAGGCTTTACACAATTCATTAGGTAAGAAATTTTTAAAGTATTTATTTCTCATCATCAAATCTTTTCTATTTCCTGTAATGCACAATTTTAGTCTGCTTCATTACAAGCAGTGCATGAATTTTTCAAACAAATATTTTTTTTTCCTGAAATGCCAAGACTTAAGTTAACTTTGTTTTCCTTCAACCAAATTAATTTCTATTCCCCTAACAGGCTTCATACTTGTAATGAGATTCAAAGTTAAATAACACTGAAGAAAACTGGTTTCTGCTGTTCAATCTTATTTTACAAATAAGTACCAGATACACAGGAAATTCTCCTACTTGTCACTTCAACTGTAATGTCTTACAGAACTGAACTCTTGCTTTGGATCACTCTCTGCACATCCTTCACTTGAGCACATTTTTAATACAATATAGAGCACTTACCCTTCTAACCTGACATCAGGTAAAGATCTGTTGAGTGCAATCATTTCACTTGCCATTAAATTAAATTGATTTATTTTAAACATTTCTTTCATTTTTTCTTGCTCCTCTTTTGGAATGACCACAGGCTTCCCCATCTCTCCCGGTCCTTCATGTGGTTTTTGTATGGGTTCTGGAACTAAGAATAAATACAATGTTGGTAATTAATTTTATGCTTGCTTTTGTTTATTTATACTTTATTTTACACCGTAGGAGTATTCTTGTTTAAAGCAGAGTTCTAAAATCACCAGGTTTGGAAGTGAAAACAAATGTTCATATTTGGGAGTTTAACAGAAGTAGTTAAGTGCTACCCCTAGACACCACAATTCATTTGAAAAACCAGTAAGGGTTTATATCTACCCATCACCATGTCCTAATTGAATTTACTGTTAAAGTTCTGAAACAACAGACATTTATATCCCAGATTGTTCTTGCACACACAGGCTTTTCAGGAGAAGTTAAATTCTGCTTTATAGAGATCTTAGAAATTATTAAATTAAAGTAAAATCGTAGCTTTACATTTATTTCCATATTTTTATTTTGACAGAATCACATTGACATTTACAGTTTAGAAATAGCTTCTCTTGGGTTTACTAACATTATTTTTAGTCAACATAATTACATTTTGGAGTTTAACATTAGTAGTCAAAACAGAAACAGTAACACTTGACATGTTTAAGACAAAGACATTTTAAATACCAAATATCTGATCAAACTGATGAGAGAAAGAAGAAGGAGAAAAGGAACCCAGACTCATGAATTACTTGGATTTTTTTTAAACAAAAGTGAAAAACCAAAACATTAACAAAAAACTACGTTAATTTTTCTTACAAATATCTGATTACTTTTCTCCTGAACTGTTAGATGCTCAAATAGTGAATTTAAAATAGATTACTACTTTACAAATTCAATACAAATCTTACCAAAAAAATAGTAATTTAAGATCTAAACAGAGGAACAGGAAATATTTGAAAATAAAGGCACAAAAGCCCCCAGTAATAAGCCTAGCTTCAGATTACCTTTAATTTGTATCTAGGGCAACACAGTCTAATTAAAGCTTATGCCAAGAGCAAATAACCATGTAAAGAATAAATTTTTTTAAAAAAAGGCCTAGCCTTCCATCCCTGCAGAAATTCTCAAGACTTAAAATATATACTTACTAAAATCTGAAACATTTTGCTAGTTTGCATATAGCATTAACCAGCTACAAGCACAACCTGTTCCTTGAGAAACTTTCATTTTCAAGTGCCTGAAACAACCGCACCAGTTGCATTAATGCAGTTACACTTAATGGAGAAAATCCTCCCACCACAGAGATGCTTTCCTTTTACCAAACGCACCTTGACTGCACCTTGAGCTATAAAACACTAGAAGTTGCCGGCCAGCCACTTATTCCCTAAAAATTAACAGAATAAGTATGCTCAAGCAGATCCTGAGCCGACAGATTTAGGTCCTTGTTTCAACCATGGGCTAAAATGTGCAAGTAATTTGGTTTGCATCTTTGCCTCCTAAGAAAGTACGGTTCAACCCACATCAAAGTTTGCTGATTTGCAATTGTATAACCTTTTAAACTAGAATTTGTGCCTTCTGGGCACAAATAAAATTATGGTATACTATCAGGCAATTGCTTGGGCTTAATTTTATTTATTTAGCTTGCTTTTATTATGTGAGCTATCATAACTATTTTTATTAAGTGTATAGCAATTAGTATATAGCTTCACTCGGACAGAAAATTATTAAATTATGAGTGTTTAACATACATCAAATAGTTTAGCAAAAACTATCAAAATATAGTTATATGTTAAAAAATAATCATGTTTTCTAGCATTCTCAAGAGCGAATGTCTTAGCTTAACATATTTGCTATTTAGAAAAAGGCAAAAAAGTCTTGTTTCATTTATACTTCTTATACATTTATACTGTCTCTTAACTTTGACAAAACCAGTTAAACTGAATAGCTAAATGAACCAAAACCTCATCTTTCACGTTTGCAGTTCTTGCCATTAGATGCTAGTTTAGCATATCAGTGAGTTGGATCCAGCTGTACAAATTCCACAAATTAATCAGTTGAATTTTTAAGTTTCATTAGCAAATATATAGTACTTGATTACACATTTTACCAGTATAAAGTACTCCATTCTCCTGCAGAAAAAATCCAGCAACAGCTAACCAGATCCACAGATGTTTTACAGAGCTCACTAAGTGCAAAGGCAGGCAAGCTTGGTGTTCAAGCACAGAGATGACTTTCCAAGAAGAGTTACCCATTTTCTTTCAGGTTTCTGCTTTTACAGTATCTGTTTTCCCACAAAAGCGTGTAGTTTTCATATAAACACAAACCAACAACATTCTCCCAAAATGACTAATACACACACTGTTAAAAAGTTCAAACCACAGTGCTCTTTTGTCAGTTAACTGTGAAAAAAAAATATTTCCTTTGAAGGGCTGTAGACACGTACTGATGACAAACTTCTAACAGAAGTTTAATTTACAGCTACAAGTTCCGGAGCTAAATGAATTACTTAATCATCACCTGATCTAAAGGGAAATTTAGTGATTTTTTGAAATATTTCTCATTTGCATCAGTAAACCATTAGTTTCAAAGAGGGCTTGATCTCTTTCAGATCTTTGTTACAGATTGGGAGTTCTTTATGGCTATGGACTATAAATTTCATTTTACAAGGCAATGTGCCTGATGAAAAACAGATACTTCAAAATCTAAGACCATCTAGGGCCAGGATTATTCCCTGACATGCCTTTAGTGGCCACTACAATGGTAAACTGACCAAAAGACCAAGTCCAGTCACCTTTGGAGGAACCACCACAAATAAAAGGAAGCCATTTGGACAGGTAAAAGTTCAGAGAAGTTTCGTTGCTTACACACACCTCAGCCTTAACAGAACAAGACTGATTTATGATGAACAGTTCCTATTTTCAAATATAAAATCTGTATTTGAGATCTTGAACATGCTCACTTTTGTTCTTCGGAATTTTTGTGCAGATGAGAATATTTAGAACCAAGTCACAACTTTTGACTTTCCATCATTACCGAAGAGCTCAAAAGCCAGAACACAAGGCCTTGATTGGCACTTGGCAAAAATTACTGGCTTGGAAGAAACTGCTACATAACATGGGTGATGCTTATTAGGGTTCCTATATTCCTTCCAACTCTTAACCTATAAACTTACAGCAACAGCCTTCCAACACCAGCTACTACTCTTTGTGAATCTGACTAATTAGCAATCAATAATGACAAAACGGGAACTACCACTCATGAGATGTGCCAGCAGAAAGAACAGCTGTCACAGTTTGGGCAAGGCTGTGCACCATCCAGGTCAGCTGGGTAACTCCGAACAGGCAAGATCACCTCTGAGCCGAGTGCTGCACAGAGATTCCTCCTGCCCTACTCTCTCTTCCTCTCTCGAGCAGTCCTCGTGGGGAGGAGGAAGAGCAGCAGCATTGGCCTGGACAAGCACAGGCTCCCTCCCAGCTCCCACAGACGGGTGCTGGAACCAACACTGCTGTCTGTTCTGATCACATTTCCCCAGGCTGCCTCCTGAACCTACTTCTGTCTTCTTCCATCATGGTGGAGGGGGTGGGCAAAGGCTCGGGCCTATGGTCACATTATCCCACGCAATCACAGTCACTAGATTCCAACTATCTCTCCTATGGTAACATTTTAGTTCCCCAGTCCAGCACTACCCAGACACCATGCCAGGCCACCTTTTCCCAAACATCTCTACCTCAGCTCTATTACAGCCTGGTAAGTGCCTGTCCTATTTCCATTGCACTTTTTGTCCCCTCATCTCCACTGTCTCGTTGTTACAACTACCAGCCCTCAATCTCTAGGATAGCATATACAGAAAGACCTTTATCCCACTCATCTTACAGTTCTCCATAATCATCCATTTTTCCACATATTCACATTCCTTTATTATTTCTCATTTTGAGCAATTTGTAAAATATAAAGGCAGTATACATATAACCTAGTATTAGACACAAGCTGAACTTCACGATTTAAGTTGTTAGTGTCTTACGCCGTCAATACCAAGGAGAAAGATTTTTCCTAAATGCAATTTAGACCATGACTAAGTTTCATTCTGAAAGAAACTCCCTCCATTTTCTGTATAAAAACCTAAGGAAAACATCCTTCTAACTTCATGAAATCCTGAACTGTCCAAAATTATCTTTAAAATCCTTTGCTCCTGCCAAAATATCTAAAGATTAATTTTTCCAACTAGGCAAGCACAGTTTAAAATAAACTTACAAAGTGTTCAGAAAAAAACTTACATATTGAGTATGTTCATTAAAAGCCATGGAATTCTTCCATGAATTGCAAAGAGAAGCTATATACCAGAGTGACATGGACCAAGAGACTATTAAATTCAGAACACTTACATAATTTATGCTGAATCAAGAAAACTAAATCAATTATGGAAATGAATGGGGGTGGGGAAGTGAAAAAGCAGATTTTGATAAAAGCTTCACAGAAAAAATAGCCTCAATCTTATCTGAGGAGATCGTAGGCATTCTGAGTGTGAATAAATCCTCTACAGACTCCAACTACTGGAACAAGTAAGACTATTGAAGATCAGGCATGCAACTAAGCTAAAAGGAAGTGTCACATTGTCAACTATAACCATGGTTTCTAGCAGACATATTTCCGCATATACCTTACTGCATGTCAGCTGTTTAACAAAAAAAGCTGTTTAAGAAAAATGTAAAAAACTATATACAAATTTTTGGTTGGTTGGTTGGTTTGTTGACAAGCCACTATAATAAGACGACATCAGGGATTTTAACACACAGAGGTTAGAGAAAGGCCATAACGAAGACTCTACTCAACTCATTAAAGTGAATGTTGCACAGGAAAAGTCATAATACTAAACTTTAAAACATGCAGATTTCCCCCTCACCTGTAGGATCTCCCAGTGACTTTGTGTAAAGTCTTCTGAACTTTCAACATCATCAATATATCAAACCAAGTCTGATATATACTGACTTAATTTGCTGTTTGACAGCAACAAAAACAAACAAAAATATCGTTTGCAATACAGCTCTAAAGGAGCCTGACATAAGTTATCTGCTTAGCATACTGTAAAAACTTTGTGGGAATCCAAAAAGTGGATCCATTCCTTAACACCAAAATATCAGTCGTCATCTTATCCTGAAGATAATTTCACAACTTCTGAAGAGAAAAAAAAAACCAAATATATTTTCTACATAACCTCAATTCATTTTCTTGCACATTCTTTTTTGCTTATTGAAAAAGAAACCCAAAAGATGAAATACAAGCAACTGAAAATTTAAGTTCTTTCTGCAAAACTCAAGTGAACTAGAACCTCTCTAAAAATGTCTGCATGCAGTTGTGGAAAGAGCAGTTCAGAGGACTATGCACAGCAGTTCTACATTCCTACACATTGCTGTTCTCTGTGGAGATTTATCAGGCTGTTTTCATCATGGGGAAAAAGAAAACCAAAACAAAACTAACATTTCCTAAACATCTCCTCAGTGTTATCCTGTAACAGGGCAACACTGTTCTTAAAACATTTCAGAAAATTTCCCAGGGAGGTTCAAGTTGTCCACACCAGATGACAGCACATAAAAAAGTTTCAAGGGATGCAAAACATTTATTACTCTTGAGTACAGTTGGCTGATCAGACTTAACACTAAGAATCACTCCGTAAGTTTCCTGCAGCAGCAGTGAAACATACAGACACAGCCTTTCTGGTGGAAGAGACACCAAAATGCAATGTTTCATATATAAACTGGAGGCAGCAGCTACATGCAGCTCTAAATGCCTGTGCTGAGACACTGCAGGGATGAGAAATCTCCCTGCACCAACCCTTACTCCCATATGATCAACTACGATGACCTCCCTAAAATAAAGTTGGCAACATGAATGGTGCCGGCTCTCAAAAAACTACTCAGTGCTACTCAAAAACTAAGAGGTCAGTAATGAAACTGAAAGCTTATCTGAAGAGCTTTAGTTTTGCATAATACAGTTCTCACTTCAATGAAAAAGTTTCACACACCCTCATATGTTACTTTTACATCCAATTTTATTCTTGCTATTTTAACAAAATTATTTTTATTACAACATTCACTGTTCCTTATTGCTATAGACAATGGCCAAATTTTGGCTTAGGCATTTGGGTTTTTCGTTTTGTTTTGTTTTGGGTTTTTTTGTTGTTTGTTTGGTTAGGTTTTTTTGTGGGGGTTAGGGGGACAAGTAAGCTTGGTTGTTAGTTTGGTTTGTGTTACCACCAAGTCTAGTGAAGTTAACTGTGCCTTTGCTTCCTTACTGGTGGAAAACTAGAATGTGCTTTAGACTATATTAACATAGCTTACATTCCTGAACTGCTTATTGCATAGTTTTATTACTTTTCACACACATTAGTGCTTAAAATTTTACATCTTCAGTAAGCATTTAAGGCTGCAATATACACCTCGGACAACGTACTTATCCCCTAGTCATTTAAAGAAACACTGAACATTCTGCAACACCTAAATGCTGATGCAGTGCTATACTGTTGAGGGGAGGGGGGGGGAAATGTTTAAAGGAGTGCAATTTTCATTAAGCATAAGTTAAAGATTACGAAGGCAGAAAACTTACCATCTCCAGCGGGTAGGCCTCGTTCTTTTTTCTCATCACATTTGTTGCATTCACTGAAGTACAGCAATAGAAACATATCCAGAAGGACCCAAACCAGAGAGGTGGCAAGGACCACCTTGCAATATGCAAATTTTTTCATGGCACTTTAAGTCAAATACAAAAATAAAAAAGTATAAATAAAAATATCAACCGGTTTCTTTAATCCAGTTTGAGAGATCACGTTCTATATCTGAAAAAACAAAGAAAAAAGAAAAAAGTCACAAAGTTACCTAAGAACAGCAGCCAAAAGCAGAAATTTTAATTACATTTTAAAGGTAACAACTTAATTACCAAATGCTGTATGTATCAAAATGAATGGTCTATGCACTCCAATGAGATTAAGGGAACCTGGTCAATTTAAGCAGCATTACTCCAGTCTTTTCCTATGTTAACATTCATCACCTGTAATGTTAAAATGAATGACCAAAATAGAGTGCTCTGCAGAGAAGAGAGGATATGCACATGTAATTAAATTTAAAGGAACTCTCTGAACCCTCTGGAAATCAGAACAAGCTGAATGAATGAAAACCAGGAGCATTTCAGGAAATGAGATATCAACGTGTGCTGTGTGAAGCCCATGGCTAATATTCCTTATGCTCCACCGTTTAGTACATGCTGACTTTTTGGGCCCATCACTGGGAATGCTGGCCTACAAATGCCTGTATTTTACAAAAAAGGCTAATGGTACATTACAGCTCCATCACCAAGACAAATGCTTTGCTTTCAGCAAATAACAAATAACCAACCCTTTTGTTAAAGCTAAACAATAAGCAAAGTGAAGAAAGTACGCACAAGCCACTGTGACCACTTACTAGGCATTCAAAGCTAAACATAGCAACTAATATTTTTGATGCTTATAGTGGTTTTAATAGTTAATGCTTGACTATAAAGCAAACTTTTACACATTTTTCAACATGTGTACAGTAAAATCTTAGTATGCCCACCTCTGAAATTCTCTTTTGTCCTACTCCAATTACAAGCAAATTTTGCTCCAAGGATAGATGATCTTTTGAGGTCCCTTCCAACTCCTAAGATTCTGTGACTGCTTATTTCCATGACTGACAACTGGGTAGGCCAGAATCAAGAAAGAGCTGTGGGTTTGCTCACTTACAATAAAATGTACTTTTATTTATTTAATTTTTTTGCCAGATCCCCACCAGTGCTGTGTTTCAACACAAAGTACTCCCGAAGTATGTCCCAGGGGGAATAGCTTAAAATTCTGGTTAAAACCAGAATTACAGACAATTTACAAAAAAATGAAAAATAAGACCTTTCAAAAACACATTAGAATGTTAAAACTGACATACACAGTTTCTCTTACATGCTTTCAGCCTAAACTGAAGAATTTATTGGAAAGGAGAACTTCAATTCTAAGCCATGACTATAGAAAAACCTCAAAAAAAATCCCCTGGTATCATTAAAGCTGCCCTTCCTTTAGTATTTCGTTGTCATAATGTGATTCTTGCCCTCCCCAATCCCCATCCTGCTTGAGGGAAAATACTATGACACCCATTTCCTAAATACAGCTTATTTCTTACTGGCAGCAGACACATCCGTGCCTCTATGCATCCCTATACATATAAGTGGCATAGGTTTGGATAGCACAGCAATGCAGGTGCCTGTAGCCTTCCACTTGTACAAGGACGTATATCCCTCTGCTTCCTGCACCAGTGTGCACCAAATGCCAAGCAAGTTTTGTTTGGGATAATCTCAGTTTGCATCTATATAGTTTTGGTATACAGGGATGACTAATGAAAATTAAGAACTGCAGAAGTATCTGTAGTTAACAACCTGATGATAAAATAGCAGATAAAATCACAACAACAAAACATTAAGCAAAGTATGTCAAGAAAAAATCCTAGGTGGTGTTTGGTTGGGGTTTTTTAGTTGTGGTGGGTGTTTTAGTTTTGGTTTTGGTTTTTAAATAGACACAAGGATGGGCCTGAACTCTGGATCTTGGAGTTGCACTACAAAGCTCTATAAAACCATCAGCTTGGTGACCAGCAGCAGTGAAAGAAAAATAATTTGTTACAGACTACTCTGAGAAGAGAAGAACAGAACCAAACCATCACTATGCCATTACAGAGAAGCTGCTTTCTCATCTTGGGTGCTGTCTGAACATTCAGTTTCGTCATTTCAAAAAGGATATAGAAGGATTAGAAATAACAAGTGAGAAGGGCAAAAGGATGAAGACAGCAAGGAGTAGCTTCATTATAAGATGTAAGTGATGGGAATAGCACTCTTCCTGGCTTGAAAAGATGTAACCTACATCAAGTGGCAGGTTTATAAAATCAAAAGCTGCACAGAGATGGTAAACAGAGAGCAACTGTTACCTTTTATTCCTGCTTCTTGTATTGGCAGAAATCAAGTGAATTTAGCAGCAAGATGTTAAAAAACAAAAGGAAGATATTCCCCAAAACATGCAGTTACGCAGGGGAACTGCCTGCCACAGTACTGCCAGTGCTACAAGTCTATTACTCGGCTATTAAATACCAAGACCTCACCCCAATGACTGTACGTAAACTCTCCATACGATTGGTTTCTTCTTTTGCTCCGATTTGGGACACCATAGAAATGACCTGGGAAAGAATCAAAACATACCACCACCCTGCCTGCACTTAAAGAAAACATGCCGAATAAAAAATGTTTTAAAAAAAACCCTAAATGAATAATCTCAGACTTGTGAGATATTAGGCTATAAAAGAAAGTGTCAAACACACAGTGCTTAGGGGTCCTCAAATTAACAAGGTGACAGGACAAGAACTGTAATCTAGACTTCCTGTCCATGCAAATACCACCTATATCAAGTGTTTTAAAATGCACAGGTTGACACTGTATCTGCCTCTAATGCAAGAAAATTCCTCTGAGAGTTCAGTGAAATGTCAAAGAGACATATTGTGAACCTGTTGAATCCTTTGAGGATTCAGCGAAGTGATTAAGAGACAGCAATGCAAAAGTTCAACATGCACTGGTTATCATTGTTAAAGCCCTTCCCTGTACCTTCAAACAAAGGCTCTCACTCCCTTGGTCAGTTTACTGTCTCATGAATTACACTGCATTTTTATCCCTGCTTTTATGACAGCACTTCCACTGTCTGCTTACCAGGAGAATTCAGGCAACACAGAAGTGAAGCAAAGGGGCCAGAAACTCTACTGAAGCAACTGCCCTTAGCATACCAGAGCTTTGAGCCAGACAAAGCTCTGGAAAAGGACTCCACCATCCAGGCCTTGAGCTGTAAAAAATGCTAGGTACCTCTCTCTAGCACTGGGGAGGTCGTAGAGGCCTCAAGCATGGGCGGGGTGCTCTGCCTGAGGTGCTGTTCTTCAGTGGAAGGAGCTACAGGACAAAGTGGGGAGACTGGTATACCATGAGCAAGGGCAAAGAGTAGGTAGACAGGCCTTTGCAGAGACCTTGCAGCACCACAAGTCAGAGCCCCATGATAAAAGGAAGAAGAGACAGCTAGGCATTGTACTCAAAGGACAAGTGCACGGAGACTACCAAGTTAAGTTCCCTTCCAACCCAAACCACTCTGATTCTTTGAAGATGGGGGCTGGGTGAGGGACAAATCCAGTAAATTAGCTGCTTGGGACAGAACGAAAGCCCGCAGATGTGCATTTCCAGAACAGTTATGCTGCCTGGGATGCTGCTGAAAGACTGATGAGTCCGCCCAAGTTCAGCTCTTAGACAGCCACCCCTTGGCTATTCATCCACATATGAATCAATGGTACTGCCAGGTGGGAATCTGAGCATATGAGCAGTGACTGCAGAGCTTGGGGCGGGGGGGGTGGGGCAGGTAGAGTGTGGCAGGCTTGGGACCCAGATACTGCTCTCCTCAATTGCTCCAGTGCGAGGGCAAGATTCAGGCAGGAGTGCACACAGCTTTTCAACACCTGGCTGCATGGGTGGTGTCAAAGGCAGGCTTCTGAGACAACAGGACCCTCTTTTTGAGGAATGAGGGCTCCTGGCCAGCATCTATGTGACAAAGTGAGGTAAACAGCATCATGGAAAGGCTCTTGCACTACTTCTGTGAAAGACACAGAAGTCGGAATCAGAGCTACTTTGAAGGAACACAGAAACATCTCCTGAGCATGTGAGAAGTTATTCAGGGAACCCTGGAGTTCAAGTTCAGAAGAAACAACAGCAGTAACAAGAAAAGCAACTGTAAGGATACTGAAAAAGAAAGACTGAGAATAATGCAGATCCACTGTTGAGTGGGACCGCAGACAACAGGTGTTGAAAAGGCTGATACTTGGTGCCTTTTTTGCCTCCTTTGTTATTGGATGTCCCAGATAAGAGTCTGCAGGAGTGAAACTTCTCATGCAATACAGACAGATTGAGTCAGGGATCTCTTAAGCCACTTGGACGGGTGCAGCTCCATCGCACCAGATGGGAGACATCTCAGGGTGCTGAAGGAGCAGCCTGATCTTACTGCAGGGTCATTCTCTATCATCTCTGAAAGGTCATGGTGATCCAGAGAGTTGCCTCAGGACTAGGAAAAAAAGCTGTCATTAAGAAGGAAAAGATAGATCTGGAAAACTATCTGGTAGGCAGTTTTACTTCAGTCCCTGTGAAGTCCATTTGTTTGTGGAACAAATTCTCCTGAAACCTACATCCACACACTGAATAGAAGGAAAAAAAAAAACAATTAAAAAAGGCAACTGGGAACAGACAGTACAGATTCACCAAGGGCACAAGAAGTGAGCTACCAGGCTCTATGGGACCAGCAGTACAAAGTTCAGCTGACAGACATTCACCAGCGTATCCTTCAGAAGTCAAAACCAGAGCTGATACTGGTTCGTGTCTCTACTAAGAACCTGGGGGATGGGACTGAATCCACACTCAGCAAGGCTGCTGGTGACACTCAAATGGGGGTGGAGCATGCACGTAATACCCTAAAACAGTACCCTGGAATGGCCCTGGGCAGTAAACACAAGGGACATTCAAGAGCCGGAAGAATGGGCAGGTTGAAAACCTCAAGAAGTTCAATAAATGCAGGCACAAAGTCCCATACCCAGCATGGAATAACCTTATTATCCACATAGGCTGGGTGTCAACAAGCTAGGAAGCTGCCTTGCAGAAAGAAACCTTTGGAGCCTGATAGCGACTTTAACATGAATCAGCAGTGTATCCCTATGGCAGAGAAAAACTACTGCACCTATAAACAAGTCTGGTAACCACAGCAAGAACCCC